CTTATACACACACACGCACACGCACTAGACTTTGGACTTAGTTTAGGGTACTGCAAGTACATGCATTAAGGGGCAATCTTGTTTTCAGTCACATTCCACTCACACACTCCCACGCACACAGTCATCACACACACAGCCACAGATGTGTGTTTTGTACTTCGTGTTTCGTCTTGAGAAGTGTGGAAGACGTGAGTGGAGATACGGATTAGTCGGATCATCATTTTAAGAAGGAATCATCACAGAGTCTAACAAGGTAAAGAATAAATAGCTCACACATGTGTATTGCTCACAGCATGAAAATATTTTGAACAATTTATTTGTCGTGGTGTCTTGCAGTGAATACAACTGTTCTTGTAATTATCCTTTCACTCATATCAAAGACAATGAATGACTTTCAGAGAAAAGGAGCAACTATATTTGCTGTGGAGTGAAAGCAATAGTGTTTTTAGATTTTAAGGAGCTTGTGTTTCAGTTTTACGTAGGGATTACAGATAATGCATTAATGCATATGTCAGAACGTGAACAAGACATGTGCCTGTGAGTTCACTGGTCTTCTGTTTATTGCATATCATGTCATGAGTCATTAACTGCTTTATTAACCAATGGTTTAGCTGATTTAGCGATACGAAGGTTTAAAATGTTTTACGTCATATACGACTCTGGATGTGCGTAAAAATAAAAACATTTGTCTGTCATAAACTCTGATTTTTATTTTGTTTGTTTTGTTTTTATTTTGAGTCATTACTCCTACATAGACATTTCAAACCACTTTCTACAGATTTTATCTTCTAAACTGATAAAACTTTCTTTCAGGGATTGAGCGTTTGCTCAAAGATGCCATGTAGGCAAAGAGGAGTAAATGTGGAATAAAAAAACAAAAATAATGTTAAGAAACTTGTTTTAAAGCAGGTGTATAAGGTTGTTTGCATGGTGAGTATAATACAAAAGGAGCAACTCTAAGCTGCCATTGTGAACAGGCACTGACTGCATAAAAGCAGTAAAGGACTTGCAGACAGTATATTTTCATAGATTTTCTGAAATAACAAAATGGTCTAAACGTGGCTGAGGTGGACAAAATACTGCATGTGATACTCAAATTAGAGATTACAAAGCATCCCTGTAATGAGTTGGGCTTTTGGTCTGGACTTACACACCCATTATTTTTCCTGTTTTTTAATCATTTTGTGAAGAACTTCTCAATAATGTATGTCAGTACCTTGCTCCTCTAGAGCCATGTGGGTTGTCCTGGCCTTGCTGTTAGCCCTCTCCAGCGGCGCTCTGTCTCTGGACAAACTCAACATGTGTATGGACGCAAAACATCACAAAGAAGAGCCTGGCCCTGAGGGACAACTGTACCAACAGGTGAAGAAGGCAAACGATATTAAAGATAGAATAGGCTCAATGGGGGAATGCTTGGGAGTTCAACTAATGTCTTGTTTTTCTTTTTTGACACCTGAGCTCTAAGGAGAACTGAAAAAATAAATTTTTGGTCATAACAGCCCAAAGAAATCTCCTTTTCTCCTTTCTCTTTTCAGTGTTCCCCTTGGCGTGACAATGCATGCTGCAAGGCCAACACCACCGAAGAAGCCCACAATGATAACTCCTACCTCTACAACTTTAACTGGAATCACTGTGGAGCTATGAGCCCCAATTGCAAGAAACATTTCGTCCAGGACACTTGTTTTTATGAGTGCTCGCCACACTTGGGACCCTGGATAAAACCAGTGCGTGTTGTCCTCGTGTGCTCTTAGTCTCTCGTGTGTGTGTCTTCTTGCAACACTAGATGGCAGCATAGGAAGCTAAATCTACATATACAGCTGTTACAGAATCAAGATTTTATACAGATGATTTGTATTTTGCCACAGTTGAAGTTGCGCACACCTTTACAACTTAGCTCACAGATCATAGTAATGCAACTGTAAGGGTAGCGAGGTTATTTCTTAAAATATATCTCTTGTGATTTGAAATTATGGATCATACAAGCAAACCAGTTGTGTGCATGTGTGCAGGCGGATGTGAGCTGGCGGAAGGAGAGAATCTTGGATGTGCCTCTGTGTAAAGAGGACTGTGAAAGTTGGTGGGACGACTGCAAGGACGATTTCACCTGCAAGACTAATTGGCACAAGGGATGGGACTGGAGCTCAGGTAAGACACACACTCAGGAAAGACAGCATGTACACAGATCAGTGGGCACGTAAAGACCTGCTACTGTATGCAACCACAGAAAACAAATTTACCATTTTGCATACACATTTTCACTCTTGTCTTACACACAAGCATTTTATGACTTTATGCAAACAACACTAAGATCCTCCTTTTCACTATTTCAGTTGCTTTGTGGATAATTAAAACATTTGCATTTGTGTCTCTCCCCCTCTCAGGTATTAATCAATGCCCTGCAGACAGACAGTGCAGGAAGTGGTCAGATGTTTTCCCAACACCCAAATCCATGTGTGAACAAATCTGGTCCAACTCATACCTTTATACCACCCTTACCAAAAACTCCGGCCGATGCATGCAGCTCTGGTTCGATGGGGCAAATCCCAACAAGAAGGTGGCAGAGTACTACCTCAATAATGCACAGCAACGCCAAAGCTTCACCCTGATGACGCTGCTCCTCCTGGCTGTCACATCCTCCTCTGTAATGATGAACTAAAACGGTATCCTGTATCACCCCGGAGCTACCAATAAAATGGATAATGCTCTTCTGTCTCTGTTGCTTGATTGTCCTCCTTTCAGTTACAGAGTGTCCTAATTGATAGTAAGAACTGTCTGGTTTGCATTTAAGTGAACACATGTACCAGATTAGATAAGATTGAAGCACTTCACAAAAACCTGAATAATGTTACAAAAAACCCAATAGTATAACACAACATCTGACAATCCAATTTCTGTCCTGTCTTTTATTATTTTAAAAGCTTCTGCTTTAAAATATGCTTGCAAACTTCGCTCTGTGCACTCCAAAAAGTCATTCAAGGGGCCACTTAATTCAGTGCATGGCTGCAAAATAAAAATTAAATAATTCAAGGGATATATTTTTTTTAGTTGAAAATAATACTAAGATAGATTGTATTGACATAATAACTTTAATAATTGCATGAACTTGATATTGTCCATCCATCCATCCATTATCTATACACCGCTTAATCCTCATTAGGGTCGTGGGGGGGCTGGAGTCTATCCCAGCCGACTTAGAGTGAAGGCAGGGGACACCCTGGACAGGTCACCAGTCTATCACAGGGCCACACTTAGAAACAGACAACCAAGCACACTCACATTCACACCTATGGACAATTTAGAATCACCAATTAACCTCAACATGTTTTTGGACCTGTGGGAGGAAGCCAGAGAACCCAGAGAGAACCCACGCTGCACAGGGAGAACATGCAAACTCCACGCAGAAAGATCCCGGTGCCCCCAGCGACCTTCTTGCTGCGAGGCAACAGTGCTACCAACTGCGCCAACTTGCAGCCCTAACTTGATATTGTGTGTAATATAAACTCAAATTTATGAATTAGTTGTTTTAAAATGAAATTTAAGATTAGGTAACCCAATGAAACTGGCTTGATAGCGACATTTCACCTTGATGTTAGGATTTCAAGTCCCCTCTCATTACACACACTGTGTGTCACAAGGTACATTTTGAAATTCCCCAGGTTAAAAACTTTTGTTCATAATAATGGTAATTGAGTAGATAACACCTACAAATAGTGTAGGAGCCATGAATGAATTGTCATTGTTGTTATAAGGTTAAGGGACATACAAATTATTGTTGGCATTTTCTTTGGTTCTGATATTATTTTGTGAACACATTGAATAGACGGATAGCGGGTCATGTGGAGATGGGTGGGGATTTAAGCTAATATACTCACCTGTTCACGTTTTCATTGTCTGACGGAGATAGAGGGGGTGAGCTGGGTCACCGTATTTTTTGTTGACCGCTATTTTTTGTTGATCCCTGTGATTACTTTGCTTATGTGTTATCATGAGTTGATGATCTTTTTTTCTTGAATGAAAGGCTTCATGGAAATGTCAGTGGATTCTTTTGTTTGGCGCATCAGACAAACAGGCCCGACCTCAGTCTCTCAGCGACTCTTGGTCGTGGAAGTCGTGACATATAGAGTGTATAAGAGTGAGCCATAGTTTAAGGAACACTTTCTTACCTTTCTCCACACATGTGGGCTGAAGCTCCAGTAATATGCTATAAAGCACTACAAAGAAATTTGGTCAAATAAACTCATATTTTCTAGTTATTTAAAGTGAATATATGAGTTTTGCTAATTTCTGGTTAACTAAACTCAAAATGTCATTTTAAAAAAAAAGAATTTCAAAACACCTTTGAACTTCAGTTCTTCTAAGCTGAGCCCCTTTCTCCTAAAATATTGAGTTGAATGAATGAACAGCTGGGTTCTGTCAACTCATTACATTAAGTTTATAAGAGATAAAACTAGCAAATAAGCAGACTTCCCAGGATGCATTGTTAGACAGTTAAAAGTCCACAGACACGATGGAAACTTGCTGTGTATCTTTGGTAAATAAAGTTATAGTTGTTAATTTCATAATACCCTAAACAATTTTCACCATAATAAAGACTAGTTCTGAATTTAGTCTTGCAGACTAGAAATTTAACTCACTGTTACCAGAAGGCGCCTCACAGTTGTCTTTGTACTGAATCCAGTAAAAAAATAAAGAATGGTTTCACAAGTTAAAGGAAGAGCAAAGCAAGTCTCGGTAACCTATGTGACTAGTTGATTCAAGTTAATATACAAAGTCTCATTGAGCATATTTTCTCAAGTTCAGTTCATTTAACTCAGTTGATTTTCCACTTTCACGACTTACAAATCGATTTTAATTTCTCAATTAATTAACTGAGGACAGTTAACTTGTGTTTTTTTCAAGGCAGTAGGGGAGTTAATGTTTTTAAGCTGAAAGAACCTAAAATGATTAACAGCATGGAATTAATTGTCTAAATTCGACAACGTTAGTCTTCATAGGCTTTCTGTCATGTCCATTTTCAGAAGCCAACAAAAAAGTTGATACTCCCCAACGCATGTAAACTGACTTTATTTACATTTGGGCTTAAAGGAGCAACTGTTGGCTCTCCTTTTGGAAATGTGCCATAAACTGCTTTCTCCTCTGGGATAAAAATAATGAAAGAAAAACAGCACACACACATAACAAGATTACAATTTCATTGCCAAAATCACGTCAGCATAGCAATTCTGTGTTTACAAAAATATAATAGATTCAAAAATCTATGTGGACAAGGAAAATAAAACAAAAATAAACCATGCATCTGGACAAGCCATGAAGGGACATGCCACATACTGTATTACTGCACAGCTCGGGGATGACATTTCTCTTTAAGTGCAGACTATGGATCAGCTTAATAACCCCTTTATAACCTCAACCACCAGTTGGGGAAAGTGTAAAACTGACCCCGGATCTGCACTGAGGGAAAATGTTTCTCCACTCTGGGCCCCGGTGATCACACCATCACATGACCACGCAGGGCCAGCTAGTGGTTAGCGGGCTCTGCTGCCTGGTAATTATGGGGTTCTAGTCCCCTGAGCGAGTGTGTGTTTGTGACAGAGAGAGGAAGAAAAGGAAAGTAAAAGAGTGTGCTAAATGTCTCCGACTCCCCCCTATGTGTTGGTGCATGTCGGTATTGATTCGTGTCTTTGTGTGAACGTGTGTGTGATTGTGAGGCGGATGAGTGTCTGTCAGTGCCACGTCTGAATGTGCTCCATCAGGGCTTGTCATTGGTTAGCTGGTGTATCTACAAGAGGGCCTTGGCAGATTGCCGATAAGTCTGATATATAAAAGTATTTAGCAACTTTTGTACACTTTGTACTTTTATAATCAAAGCACGACATAATTAATCGAGTTGTTTTTCAAGGACATAGCTCATGTGGTCAGCTGTATCTTCATGTTTTGACAATGTGGCTTTACTTGCTGACCGACATCAGATGTGTGAAAGTGTTGCTCTGTTTCTGTGGTTAATAATAACATCCTTCCTGGTGACAGCACTGTATGATTCTGCATCTGAAGACTGGTGGCTTTGCTTGGTTGAACTACAGAAGCTCAGTGACAATTCTTACACTGCTTTTCATCAAATATATCAATGTAGTAATCAGAATCAGAATCAATTATTGATTCAGGACAGGAAATTGCTTTCATTACATTTGCTCCTATTGAAGTTTTATTAATTTAAGCTATAGAAAAAATATATAGAAGATTAACAGAAGTAGAAAAATATGTCCTAAAATATAAACATAAGTTAAAAAAAAAAAATATATATATATATATATATATATATATGAGGAATAAAATATAAAAATAGCATTTTGCTATGTATATACAGTGTAATAAATAGTAATGGAGTTTTAATTGTGTTATTGCACACAATGCTTCCTATAAAAGAATACTTAGGATAATACTTAACCTGGGTTTAAATGAAAGCAGGCATTTGAGCATCCCTGCACACATTTTGTTAATTTTTGATGCAAAACAGCATTGCACTATAAAGAAAAAGCACTGTAACTTTTAATTTCATGAATTTGGAGAAATGAATACCACAGCTGATAAGTTCTCTGACTCAACAACCCTGGGCTCGCCTAACCAACTGCCTGAATAGAAGCTAATTGATGCCTACAAAACAGAGGAAGGTTATAAAAGATATATGAGTATTTCCAGCTTGCAATTTCCACTGTCTGAAATGTCATTAAGAAGCAGCAGTTAAAGGGAACTGTGGAAGTCGTGACAAGATCTGGAAGACCAAGAAATGCTTGGAGATAAAACGGAGCAGCTTCTGATGACCAGAACATCTATCCTAACTCCTAGCAAGGAGAGTAGAGATATTCTACTATACAATGGATTCCTCTGGATGGAAATGTCATGAAAGTCATGGAAGTGAAACTGAGGCTGTGGTTTCAGTGATCCAAAGCAGACCTCAAACTCCACCATGAAACACATTCTCGGATATAACTGCTGCCTCGATGTTGATGTGAACAATGTTTATGAGTCAGAAATTTAGAAACTTTGACGCAATGTGCTCAAAGTAACCTGATTCTGGGACATCCATGGTGTATACGGGGCCTTAAATTAGTGATCTAAAACAACCCTGTCACCAGAAAAATCCCAGGCACAACTTCCAAAATATAAAAAACAACACATGTTGAAGAAGTTGGGCATCCACTAGTCATCCATCCAGCATTTTTGTTTCTGGGTGTGTAAGCGACATTAGTGGTTTGTTGTGCTGTTGGCATGGCATATTATAACAATGGCAGCAGACAATTATAGTGGGATTTAAAATAGGAGAGCTTTTTGTCATAGGTTTTGCTGAGTAAGTATTTCGATTCTAATGAGAGATCCTGCAATAAACTCTTCTGATGTGTGCATGCAGACACATTCAGCAATCAGGAGAACCTTTAACGATTGTGAAGCCACATACTTTTACAGTCTTTTACAGTCAGCTCGCAAACACACACAGACATGCAGTGTGATGCCATAACCAGAAATAGCATTGGGATGGCTGCTGTCCCTGTGGCTATTAATACGCAGCTTTTCTGAGGTCATTGGCAACACACACCACCGACCGCCCAACTCTCACCCTCTCTCTTTATGTCTGCCTCTCTTTTGCTTTGTAAAGAATGTGTGTGTGTCCATACCACATTTCAGGAGTCAGACTTTTTGTGGGCAGGAAAAAAAAAAGAGGCTAAATCAGAAAAATGAGCGATGAGCTCTAAATGCTGGGTTGCTTGCTTCCTGTGGTTTGCCAGTCTGGCCTCTAGGTGGACAGTTACACCTTGTGGGAATGTGTGTGTTCGTGTGAATGTGTGTGGTCTGGAAAAGAAAAGGATTGCATAACTGGATTGGAACTTGCGTTGAGAAATTGCCGGCTGCAGGTCACACTGATACTCAGAGAGGAAAGCCCTCTCGCATGAGTTACGGCTTTGGCCGTGCAGGCTGCAACTTAGAGACATGATGTATGAGTACGAAAATGTCTTTTAGGTCACGTTGGTGGCTTTTTAACCATATGGACGAAAAGTGGCTTTAATTTGCTAGAAAACTCTAAATGGTGTAAGTCTATTTAAAGCGCTGAAACCACAGATACTTCAGCCAATTCAAACAGGATATTAAAAAAACATTTGGAGAGTTCAGCCGACAAAATGGGAAAATCAACTTCATCCCCCCTCTTCAGCAATGAAAGAGGTCATCTGAAGTGAAGTTACTTTGTAAAAATACTGAGTGATATCCAAAATGTTACAAGCGTAGAATAAAAGCATTATTATGACAAAAATGTACCTAATGTATCACAAGTAAATGCACTCACAATAAGAATAGCACATTGTATTACTGGATGGGTATTATACACTGTTGCCCATAAAGTTGGAATAATTTTGTTTTCAGACACATTCCTCTTTTTACTTCTATTTATACACATCAATATTCACTTTGACCAGGTGCAATGATTACATACTGAGTCCGAGTTACCAGGTGAAACCAACTCAGACTTCAGGATCTGACTGAAGAGTGGGACGCCCTGCCCATTGACACCATCAACAAGCTGGTGGACAGTATGCCACGATGTCTTGACGCATTAATCCCTGTCAGAGGTGGCTATACTCAATATAATATAATTGTGACTGAGTGACCTTGAAAGAGCAATACTGGACATTCTTATGCATGAAATTTCCTCGAATATGTGTTTCCTGTTAAAATGACCAAGGTTGAAAGAATGAAACAAAACCCTTAATCCTGTCGTTCAATACCCCCAGTTTAGTTTAAGTCTGAATACACGGTTTGCAAAAGTAAATTGTGGTTTAACTTTTACTGTGATACGTATTGTATGTATATTGTGATATCAATAAAGTTTTGAAAACATATATACTTTATCTATCTAGCTAACAATAAATTGCGCTGTCACAATCATTTCAGGAGAAGAACTAAAATAATATTTTATTCCAACTTTATGGGCAACAATGTAGATACATTAAGGTGTACAAAGCACTTTAATGTTGTGTAGTCTGTCAAGGTGCAGGCACTAGTTCAGTTTCTAACACTCTATCATATTGTATTTGTTGATCATATATTTTGTATGTAAAGCCTGAACCTGCAAAGCAACTACTAATTAAACATGTGAGAAATATGTTGTGGAATAAAAAGTATGATAGTAGATGAATAAATGTAGTTGCTTTCCATAAGCGTTGCTATTAGTCAATGTATTTACTTCACTTGCTCTTGGTCCCTTTATCTTTCTATCCATTAATCTACACTTTAATACTGTTCAAATACATACAAATGCTAACAGTACTGTACAATTTTTTCCAAACTACATTTAAATGCTGTAAAATCTGATGGGTTTTTTTGAGCCAAAAACAAATATGACTGTTACCAGCAAAAACCCATGGTGTCAACACAGTGTTTTCATTATTATTAGAGTGATGGAAGGAACACATGAAACAACTGACGTTCAATCTTTGTTCATCCTCCTTCCCAGAAGCTAAAAAAAAGTGTGAATAACATCATACTGAAAATTTTAAATCTAAGTTATGAATCTGGTTACTCAGTTTGTGAACTTGGTTTAATTCAAAGTAGCTTTGCATAATTAGTGATGACCTGGTTGTACACAGGAGATCATTTTCAGATTTCAGGTCTCAATCCTGGATCATAAAGCTTCAAGACACATTGGTTTTTTACAATATATGTCTGCACTCACTGTATTCATTATTATTATTATTTACAGAAAATGCTAGAATTTACAGGTAGCTGCTGTTATGTTTCATAGTGATTACAATGGCAACAATATAGAAAAACAGTTACACCTCACATGTAGAGTACTACAATTAATATTACAGCAGTTGGTTTAAATAAAGTCAAATACTCTGGTGGAAGTAGAGTAATGGCAACCAGAGCTGCCATTGCTTTACAGTCACTTTACAGGAAACTTAGTTAAAGAGTATCAGTTCTGCATGTAGAATTCTGCAGGTTCATATTAAGCATCCAAAGAAAAACACCAACTAATGACCACAAGGCCAGAACTAGGCTGTTATCCACTGATTATTTACAATTTTTAAAAAAAAGAATGCTTGAATATTACAGCCACTACAAACCAAAGGCCTGAAACCCCCAAAAGAGTGGCCTCTGTCAGCTGGTCCTGACACTCACTGATCAAATAGTTTTCAACACTGATCAACCTCAGACCAGCTCTGCTCTCCAACCACTTACCAACATTAACCACATGAATACATTAACAAAAGATGCTTATCTGGAACACTGGAGGACTCAAAGCAAAACTCAAAAACAATTGTTATCTGACCATAACCTATGAATAGAAATGGAAAAAATATCTCTTTACTGTCAGAGATGCAAAGCAGAAGCAGATTCTCATCATATACTGACTCAGTGACCACAATCTTGCCATAGAGCCAAGATGACACAAGAAGTTGAGGAAACCAACATTGACGAGTCTACATTCACTGCACAGCAGGTGAGGTGGAGACAGAGATGCACTTACTCTGAAAATCCTCCCTCACAAGTCATTCTGACAAACTTCATACTTATGCATAGTAGGAATTTTATTTTCAAATACTGATGTTGCTCTTACTTTACCTACCACCGAAGTGTTAGATAACACATACTGAAATGGTTTGATAATTGCGAATTAATTAATAAAGTTCCAACCTTACTATAACTTTATTGTCGGTGATATTTAAATTCCTGGCATAACTACGTCCAACCAGTAATCAGCAGGGATGCTTAGGCTACGTGCCATGGAATGAATCAGTAAGACTGTGTAACCCTCAAAAGTCTGCCTCTTAAATTTTCACATATTACAAAAAAAGTTGTTATATTTTGTTCAGTCAAATAGAAAAAAAACAAATCTAATCACTGTTGTGTACAAAGTTAAAAAAAAAAAAAAAAAAGTAGATGCACATTCTTGTAGAAAATAAACAGCTGCCTAGTTTGTACTATCAAAGTGTTACATCAACTTATCTCGAAACTACCTCTCAGCTGATATCATCTTATCAGTAAAACAATTCCAATGCGATAAAAAGGTAAGTAAGAAACTGAAAAAAATACATGAAAACTGATATTATCTGGTGGTCAGAAGGGGAATAATGGAATAATCTTACCTAAACTGTCTCTGATGCTTTGGCAATATTGTCAACATGATATCCATGACAATAAATAATACAGAATATGATTGAGTTAAGTTCTAACCATCCATTCACACTTCTCTGTCAAGCTCGCTACAGTTAGCAATAACAGGAAGCATACTCAAATTGACCGTGTCTCTCAAATAACGTGTCTCTATGTAAAGTCCTCAACATCCTGTTTTATTCTGAAAATCTCAACAGTAAGTGCTTTATGTAGATAACATGGCGGCCTTGACCAGGTTCGTCCCCGCCGCCGCTGCCCGGTCTCCAGTGTGGATTTACATACCCTGATTTCCGTGGGACTGGGAAACGAAAGAGGAGGGTGGCGAGCCTTTCAGGAACTGAGGGAACAGCCGCAAACAGCTTAACTTAACAAATTAACAACTTGTAGCCTCCACCGTCGGTTCCCCGGCGTCTCCCGACCCTCCGACGGAGTAGCGTTCACTTTTCTGGCGGCTCTCCGTTGCTCTGTCGCTGGATTGTTTCACTAGTCCGGAGGAGATTTTTCGGAGGAGACGGGAAGCAGTTTGAGTTGAACCCGGTTTGAAGGGCTGTGGCCATGGCCGGGGGTGGCGGCGGCGGTGGGGTTTCTCCGTTGGGGCCCGCTCCGCCGATGTGGTATCACCGGGACCTGAGTCGAGCGGCCGCCGAGGAGCTGCTCGCCCGAGCCGGGAGAGACGGCAGCTTCCTGGTGCGGGACAGCGAGAGTGTCAACGGGGCTTACGCTTTGTGTGTACTGTAAGTAACTCCATCGGCCTTTCTCGGCTTTGTTTTTAGCTTTATCTTTTCAAATCTAGCACACATGCCTTCAGGGAGTCTTTGGGTTTGTGTCTGAGGCGCAGTCTGTTCTGTTATTTAGCTTTTATAAGTTGTGCACAAACTTTTTCTGCAGCACCGTTTGCCAGCTGATGCGATGAAGCTGAAGGCTGCCTTAGAAAGTGTTTTAAGAGGTTTCAGCCAGACGCATGTGTTTACTTTCTCCTCTAGCGTGTATTGCAGTATAAAAAAACAACAGGATTTGCTCATTAGACAGCTAATGCAATCCCATTGTCAACCCAGGCACGAGAAAGATCAGTAGGATATTAAGGATACTCTATATACTACTTTAAAATAGGAGGAAATGTGCATTTGTGAGTTGGAGTAAAGGTGGATTTTTTTTCTGTATTATAATGTGAGAACTGAATGGTGATGGATAAAAGGTCATTCAACCCCCCCTGATGAGCTGAGGACATGCTGTATATGTAGAATGCATTGATGACTCATTATTTGTGCAACTTTGTGCTTTTCAAAGTGCTTTACAGATCACTGACAAGTAGTAGTATGGTCAGTTCTTGTGTAAACAGGAAAACAATCTGAGTGTAGCCAATAAGAAAAAAGATCAGTCAAGAAAGAATTGTAATTTAACACTAGATAAAAGGCAACAGCATATACATCAGATGGGAGGGAACAGAACATTTTGCAGCAGCATTTGCCAACAGATGTAATGAAGCTGTTGTTGAAGTCTGTGTTTGAAAGTGTTGAAAAAGGCTTCTGCCCAAACACATTTGTTTACTTTCTCCTGGAAGGCAGTGAGTGGGAGAGAGAGACTGACTGTCTGCCCAACAGTGAAACTCCAGCATGGCACACAACTTTAGGGCTGTCCCTGTCTGTCTTGTGTCTGATGTGGTCGCCTGCAGCGCCGTTTTTACAGGGCACTCAGCTACAATCAGCCTGCGGGTTGCGAGCAGTGGCATTAAACTGAATGGTCGTGGAGGTAAATATAAGCATCTATGGGCTGGTTAAGCGTTGCTGATGTTTTAATTTGAGGCTCATGCACGATCGGCACAGTGGGGAAGCATTGGGCTCCACCGAGGAGTTACTATCTTCTCACACAATACATCATAAAATGACAACAGTTCATAAATCAGAAAAAGTCTCTGTTTAGAGGGAGTTAGAGGGACATGGCATCCTCTTTGCTAAAATAAGTGATGAAACTCCCACCGTCCATTACACAGGGGAGCCTTTGCTATGTTTAACAATTAACTCAGGCACTTTCGGTATCTTCTGAATTGTGTTAAGTAAAAGAAATAGCCTTGTATGTATTCTTTGTTTGCCTGACAAACAGATAAAGTTTTAGTGCAGATAGTGCTGTCAGTGTTACTTACATCTGACAATGGCTCAAGGAAGTCAAATGAGTCGGAAAAAAGAAATGATAAACGTGTAAAATGACCAAGATGACTTAGGCATCGCCCTGCGCCCACGCTGATAAACAGATAGGCTACAGATTGCACTGAGGCAGGAAATAAAAGGCTCATGCCATGTGACATAGCTCTCTGACATTGACTCGACCTACATCCCCTATCTGATAGTTTACCCCATGCTGAGTTCAGTGTGTGTGTGTGTGTGTTTACACATGAACACTAGGCAGCACATAATGTATGTAATATGCATTTGTGTGAATTAATGTATAATGTGCACTTTTCAGAGCTGAAGCAGTTCGTCAGATAATTGATTAGCTGAGCAAAAGAAAGTTAATTAACCATTTTTAATATCACTTTTTTGCAAGCAAGAATGCTGACTAATTCCTTCCTTCCTCTGAGATGATTACTTGCTAGTCTTTGTTTAACATCATTGCAAACTGAATGTTTTTAGTGCCTTGGTCAGACAATATTGTATATCTCCCTGGGCTCTCTGAAAAATGTGGCCTCATAATACACTTTTTTTGCACTCTGAACTTTCTGTCATCTAAAATAATTACTGCTTATGTCATGCATCCCGACTTCCCTTTTAAAAACATACAGTTGCTCTGTTGTCTACTTGACCACTGGCCTTTTAAAATATACAGTCAAGATTGAATGGTGGTGACGATACCCAGTTTTCATTCATTGCTGGAGGCACTAGTCACTCAGTAGGTCACTGTGTGACCAACAGCATTCCTTACATCCATGCATCATCTGTTTCCGGAATTTTTCCCGCCTCTCCCTTCCTCTCCCCTTTCACCTTTCACATCACGGACTTCAAGTTTCCTTCATTTTAGCTCAGCGATGTCCTGGACAGGCTTTAGATAAAATGCGCTTCACAAACAGTGAAGACCTCGACATACAAAAAGCACCATATTAAGATGCACCCTTTTAAACAAATGGCCATCACTGCAAGAATACTCTCTAAATGTTATCTGGTTTTGTCTTTTTGTTACTTTACAGCAGTCATAGAGCAGGTTTAAGGCGTTAACATGGACTGAATCTGCTGCAATCTTCAAAGGCGAACATTTCATGATTGCCCTCATACAGTATCCCATCATTTCCTTCTTTTGTGACTATAGGAAGTAGTGGTTGCACGATTTGTGATTCATTCAGTTGACTCAGATTTACAAATATAGAAAGAGAGGAGTAAGAAGTTGGATTTAAAATGTGTATTGCAAAATACAAACCAATGTGATTTGCTCAAGATACAGCTGTAATTCAGCAGTTGGTCAGAAATTCAGAATTAAGACTTAAGTTAAATAAGTAAATAGGATCAGTAGGGTAGTAATTATGCACTTTAATTACCTTTAAAGAAGATTATATATGCCTTTGTGAGTTTAAGTAAAGGTGGAACCGGTTAACCATGCATGTCACTGTTTTCTGTTAGCTTTACAATGTGAGTAATGAATGTTTTTGAAAAAGGGCCAAAAAACACAAAAAATGTGAGGAAAAATATACACAAAAGGTTCTTTAGAAAGTAAAGCTATTGTAAAATTAGACAAAATTGATAAAGGGAAACCACAAATAAAACTCATGTAAAAGAAAAGATCATTTTAAAACACAGTGTCTGAGTTTTTCCCCCTCTTAATACCCAGTCACATGTCATGTGGACCAGTGCTGCTACATTTGCATGAAACAGCTTCGTAAAGAACATTTTTAAGAACAGGGATGGCCCAGTGTTTCCCAACAACCCCTGAAGCTTAAAAGGAAAAGATTATATGGCCAGACAGCACATCTGTGTGTCACCTTTGTCAGCTTTGGCTAATATTGCTGTCTAAAAAAAAAAAAAAAGCATTTCCAGGAAGTAAAATCTGAATCACTACAGGGGTGAAAAGGTTTCAGCCACTGAATGGCACACTGTTTTTAGTCATAGGCCCAGTGCGGCATCCTGTTGGCTTAGAGCTCATGTGCATAGCAGGTCTTCTTCATTGTTTCCTTTGTCTCATACTCTCCTGAGAACCACACAGCCCAGTTACTGAAATGTCACTGCATCAGTTTTTTTTTTTTATGTTTGAGATGCATTTTCATAAACTGCTTCATGCCTGTGTACCTCCACCAACCAGTGAAGTTACACATGTCCTGTGCTTTCAGTGGCATTTTCTCACAGTAATAGTGCTATAGTACTGTTTAAAAGTCAAGCTGCAGTTTACTTTCATGTCTTATAATAAATGTAGGGAAGACTTAGAAGTATATAAGTTAATTGACACAAACAAAAATCAGTCAGATTATTCATATGTGCTCACATGCTTGGCCAATGATGTAGATCCTAACAATACATAAATGTGCATCCATGGCAGTAAACAATGCCTCAAATATAGATGTTGCAAAGAAACCACAAATTCTTAATGGTAGACCTTCACACACATCTTTAACCCGGCAGTGCAGAACAGTAATACAGTCATCACAGTTTCATGGTGTCACGGTGGGCACCCAGGATTCGTGTTACCAATTCAGTGTCTGACCAATTGTGAAATATGAGCACAGTCTTATCTTCTGTTCTTGAGTCATGGTGTTGAATATTGGTCAGAAAAGTGTTTTTGCAGAACATTTCAATGTCACAGCAACCTTTGACCATTTTAGATGTAAAATGTCATTACTTCGTCAATTTATTGTTCTCGACGTTTGTGTGAAATTTCATCCATCCATTATTATACATCGCTTAATCCTCACTAGGGTCGCGGGGGGGCTTGAGCCCATCCCAGTTGACCCAGGGCGAAGGCAGGGGACACCCTGGACAGGTCACCAGTCCACCGCAGGGCCACACCTAGAGACAGACAACCAAGCACACCCACATTCACACCTACGGACAATCCAGAATCACTAATTAACCTCAACATGTTTTTGGACTTGTGAGAGGAAGCTGTAGAACCCGGAGAGAAGCCCCGCTGCACGGCGAGAACATGCAAACTCCACGCAGAAAGCACCAGCGACCTTCTTGCTGCGAGGCAACAGTGCTAACCGACTGTGCCACCTTGCAGCCCCCTTTGTGTGAAATTGAATTAGCGTATGAATTCTTGAGTTATGACTGAAAGGTGTTTTTATGAGTTCTCAGTGACCAAAAATCTAATCAGTTTATTTTTGACTCAGAGTAAATGTTTTCTCCACATTTAAAGAAGTTCCCTCAAGGTTGATAAATCATGTTTATAAGAATAAGACTTACCGACGCACACATGAACAGCCTGAAAACACAGTGCCTCAGGCCACGACAGTTGCTGGCAGAGAGAAAAAAAAAAAGAGCGCATAACTATTAAAGCCTTTTGAGTGTTTTTTTCCTTTTTCCATTGGAGGGAAAACTATACTTGTACTGCATTTAATTTCTAGTGAATGCTGTTAGATTATTATCTTTCGCAGGAACAAAACATTGCACGGTGGAAGGTTCGCACGCAATTACGTCAATTTTCTGATTTAGTAGACTAGCTTATTAAACTAGACTACCTCATTTTAATGGCATAAGGTAGATGGCCTTCCTCAAACCCCTGCCCGTGAATAATACACATGCAACAATGGGGCTTTTTG